GGCTTGTACGACCAGAAGCTGGATAGTCCGCAGTGGCCATTGCAGGCTGGAGAGCTGGAAGAACCAGCAGCAGCATGGTCCAAGACGCTGAAGCCTCAGAACAAGAGAGATCAGTGGTGCTGCCGCAATCCAAGACTGAAGGCTTCTGAAAACTCCCTGGAGAATCACTGGCAGAGTCCACTTGGGAAGAGTGGAGGAGCAAGAGTCTGACGTCCTCCGACCATCCCAGCAGCCGTCAAGAATGCAGTCAAGAAGAATCTAGCTTGCATCTGCCGCCACTTCCTGCTTCTTCAGCTTTAATTCCATCTAAGCCTCCCATCTATTGGACTGGGCTGCCCACGTATAGGGAGGGCCTCCACTTTGGTTAGCTATCCCACATGCCAGTCATTCCTGGACATATCCTCACGGACACACCCAGAAGCCTCTTTTTTTAAATATTATTTTTTAGTTTTAGGTGGACACAATATCTTTATTTTACATTTATGTGGTGCTGAGGATTGAACCCAGTGCCTCATGCATGGTAGGCGAGCACGCTACAACGGAGCCACAACCCCAGCCCCCAGAAGCCTGTTAATCTTCAGCATTTTTAATCCAATCAGGTTGACGATTTAAATTAACCATTATAGATCACAAACAGTGGAGCCCCTGACATCCCTCCTGGCTTGTGGGGAAGAGAGCTGGGAGACAGGACTAGGGAAGGTTTGGGAAAATGAGCTTGGCAGAGGAGGCAGTGTGGTGGCCAGAAGAAGGGGTCAGTCTGCTCAGCCCTTCATCTGCAGTGTGAGGTCAGTCCTTGTTCCTGAGTCCCCTAACCCTGGCATGTAAAAGTCACTCAACAAATACTTGTGGATAAACAAATTTCCTCAAATTGAGGGTTTATTGTCGCCCATATTAGAGAAGAGAGAACCAAGGCCTGGCCCACACAGGCCTCTTGGGCACCTGTGCCAGAGTCTGAAGCTGTCTCCACTTTCTGGGCATCAAGGCACAACAAAACTGGGGCTAAGTGACAAGGCCATGGACCAGTGGTGGTGTCCAGTGGGCATGGGGTGGGCAAAGGGAGGGTGCAACTCCCGAGCCCAAGATGAGAGGGAAATGGGCTGGGGTGAAAAAGTACCCCGTGGTCCTGTGCTGGGTGGTTTAGGGCAGCCCCTTTGTGGGCAGTGGGCAAGGAGGAACCAAAGTAGTAATCTACAGATGGATGTCAGCAACACCTGGGCTCTGTCATCAGCCTCCTTTTAGGGAAGGAGCAGATTAGGCCCAGGCTCCCAGACTGGAATGGTGCAGAAGCCACAGTAGTTCTTCCAAGGCAGCTAGTTAGGACAGGGAGGGGACAGCCCTGCCCACACCCCTGGCCTCCACCTGTCCTCCCCAGATTCATTTACCTTTCTGCAGGATATGCACCTACCTCAATGCCAGCTCTTGAATGCACTTAAGGATACAGCCCTGAGGTTCCCTCCTCCAGGATCCTGCAGGGTCCTCCTCAGACGGCAAACTCTCTGGCTTCTCTTCACTGCCAGCCAAGGATCCCTTTCTGGCCAGGTCTGCCCACCCTCACTCCCCCAGGTTGGGGTGGAGAAGAGTCAGTGAGGAGGGAGATCTCAGAATCCCAAAGATGTCCAGGTGGTGATCCCTAGAACCTGTGAGTCTGCTAACTTACCTAGAAAAATGGACCTTGTAGATTGATTAGATTAAGAGTCTGGGGATGGGAGTTATCTTGGATGATCTGTACAGACCCAGGGTACTCTCACAGTCTTTTTAAGTGAAAGAGAAGGGTCAGAGAGGTTTGTAGATATTATGCTGATGGCTTTGAAGAAACTATGCCAAGCCAAGGAAGACAGCTGTAGAAGCTGGGAAAACTAAGGACACAGATTTTTGCATAGCCTCCAAAAAGAACTGGAACTGTTTGAACCTGGATGTTAGTCCAGTGAAATGATCTTGGGCTTCTGGACTGCAGAACTGTAAGATAATAAATGTATTATCCTAAGGCATTGAGTTGGGGATAGTTTGTTACAGTAGCCAGAGAAAGGACCACCAGCCCTGCTCCTGCCGGGCTGGTTTCCTTCCTGAGGCAGGGGTGTGGCTTCCCAGTGACCCAGTGTGCTAACCCCAGCTCCCACGGATGATGTTCACAGTGGTGTGGGGCAAGAACTGGTCTGGGAAGACACACCCTGGACTCCCTGGTGTTCCTCCTCTGGCTTGCCACCTGAACTACTTCTGAAGACATGCCTGAGTCAGGGTGTTGGGGCCCTGGCAAGCCTTGGGTACCCGCAAGCATTCCCAGGCTGCATCTCAGTTATCTGTGATGCCACCAATTTCCAGTAACCAATCCCCCAGTAACCTCTTGGCACCCACTGCATTTCCAGTGCTGGCGACAGACATGTGAACATCACACAGGAGCTTCCCATCACACGTGAGCCTCCCCATCCCTTGGTGAACCCCAACACCAAGTGGGGTTTCAAGGCCTGTGGTCAGTCTGTGCAGAAGGTAGCTACCATCGGCCTCTCCTGTGACAAGAAGGCTTCTGCGAGCCCATGCCACCTTCCCTGAAGACTGCTGTGAACTAGAAGACTCCAACTTCCACTGGAGCTGGAGGAGAGGCTCCGCAGAGCTGATGGAGCCATGGAGAAGGAAACTGGCCCCTGCCATCAAACTAAAATGCTTCTTCACATCAAGGAAGCAGCCAAGAATGTGAGGAGAGCCTACTGAATGGGAGAAAATCTTGGCCAGATGCACCTCAGAGCATTAATCTCTAGGATATATAAAGAACTCAAAAAACTGAACGTCAAAAAACCAAATAACCCAATCAAAAATGAACAAAGGAACCAAACACTTCACAAAAGAAGAAATATGAATGGTCAATAAATATATGAAAAAATGTTCAATATCTCTAGCAATTAGAGAAATGCAAATTAAAACTACAATGAGATTTCATCTCACTCCAGTCAGAATGGATATTATCAAGAATACAAATAACCATAAATATTGGTGAGGATGTGGGGAAAATGATCAATTTGTACATTGCTGTTGTAACTGCAAATTGGTGCAACCACTCTGGAAAGCAGTATGGAAATTCCTCAGAAAACTTGGAATGCAACCACCATTTGACCCAGCTATCCCACTCCCTGGTTTGTGAGCTTGGTAGGGGAGGCAATACTAAATATCAGCATACTACAGTAACAGCTCAATTAACAGTAGCTAAGTTATGAAACCAACATAGGTGCCCTTCAGATGAATGGGTCAAGAAAATGTAGTACATATACGCAATGGAATATTAGCCACAAAGAAGAATGAGATTATGGCATTAGCTGGTAAATGGATGGAACTAGAGACTCTCCTGGTAAATGAAATAAGCCAATTCCCCCAAAACAAAGGCCAAATGGTTTCTATGATATGTGGCTGCTGAAATACAATAAGTGCCCTGGGGGTGGGAGGGTATTGTAATGGATTGGACAGGGCAGAGTGGTGGTGGGGGGAGAGAGTGAAGATGGGAATGGGAAAGACAGAAGAATGAATCATTCATAACTTCCTATGTTCACCATGAATACACAACCAGTGAAACTCTACATCATGTACTCCCACAAGTATGTATGATATGTCAAAATACATTCTACCGTCATATATAACTAAATATATAACAACAAAAAAACTGACCCTTGGAAATTAATCAGGGTGAAGGGACTCGGGCAGGAAAAGAGGCCAGAATCACTGAGGCTAACCAGGGAAGTCCAGGACTCCTCTAGTCACATGCTTGTGTCTGACTTGGGCCACCTTGGCGTCCTTAAGCCATGATGACCACAGCTGCCCCACAGCATGTTGGGAGGTTTGCAGAGTCATGATCCAGAGGTGAAGGCAAGCTGGGACTTAGAAACAGGGTAGCAGCCCGTCTTCATGAGATGGCCTCGCTGGGCCTCAGCAATTTAGCAAGGCCCAAAGCAACTAAGAGAGACGTGTCTCAAAAAGTAAATAGTTCAGGGGGCTGGGGGTGTGGCTCAAGCAGAAGTGCGCTCCCCTGGCATGCGTGCAGGGGGTTCGATCCTCAGCACCACATACAAACAAAGATGTTGTGTCCCCCGAAAACTAAAAAATAAATATTAAAATTCTCTCTCTCTCTTAAAAAAAAAAAAAGTAAATAATTCAGGGACAGTGGAGCATACCAGTAATCCCAGTGGCTGGGGAGGCTGAGACAGGAGGATCTCAAGTTCAAAGTCAGCCTCAGCAATTGCAGGTGCGAAGCAACTCAGTGAGACCCTGTCTCTAAATAAAATACAAAATAGGGCTGGGGATGTGGCTCAGTGGCCGAGTGCCCTTGAATTCAGTCCCCAATACACTCACCCCCCCCCAAAAAAAAAAAAAAAAAAAAAAAAGTAAAAAGGACTGGGGATGTGGCTCAGCAGTTAAGGGCCTCTGGGTTCAATCTCTGGTACTAAAGAGAGAGACGAAGACAGAGACAGGGCCCTACCATCCCTGGTCAGGTCACCCCTGCCCCTCCGAGCCTGAATTCCAGCCAGGGGCATGACCACAAGATATCAACAGCAACTTTTCTCTCCAAGACCCCTCGACCTACAGTGCACCCCAAGGAAGAGTGGATCAGAACCTTCAACCCTGGTGCCGGCTGGGGATTCTTCCGCGGCCCTCTTTCAAGTTCAGAGCCCCTGTATGGATGTCAGTGGGCTAGTGCCCAGCTGGACTCCACTAGACTCCCAACTGGATCTCAACAGGGGTGAGGTTCACCAGTGACCTCCAGGAAAACCCTTACAAACGTCAGGCCAGGGCACCCTCAGCTGGACAGCCATGGGAATCAGCCAGAGACATCTCCAGGTGGCCTCCCATGAGGGTCAGGTGTGTTCCCAGAGGATCCATGTGGACCCCTGCGGTGGTTGCTGCTGTCCGTGGTGGTACTACCTAAGTGCCCTGCCCAGTCTGAAGAGATAGGTGCTGGGAATGCACACGCTAAGGCCCCGGGGGATGCCCAGAGGATCCCAGGCGCAGCGCGGAGGCACTCATCGAGGTCCCCACACCCTCCTCATGCCCCGTAGTCGGGGGGTCCAGCCGGGGCCCTCCCCTGCTGGCCACGTGCGGTCTGATGGGTCGTCCAGCGTGCCCTCTGGCTGGGCTGGGTCCTTAGGGACGCTCTCGCGCTCCAGCGCACCCACCGCAGGCCCTGGCAGGGTGTTGTCCAGGTCAGGGCTGGTGGGTCGCGGCGGAAACCAGGAGAAGCCGGGCTCAGGGGCCAGAGCCACCAGCTGCGGCCGCACGGGGCCGGCGGAGGCAGCGTGCGGGATGAGGAAGAAGATGTAGACGCCGGAGACCACGAGGCCCGCGGCCACCAGCACGGCCAGCGCCACGGCCGCGTTGAAGACCCAGGCCGGGCTGCTCAGCGTCAGGCGGCGCGACAGCGGGCGGCCGAGGCGCAGAGGCGGCGGCGGCGGCGCGCGCGCGGCGCGGCTCTTGCGCGGCCCGGGCGGCGGCGGCGGCGGCCGCAGGTAGAGCAGCCCGCGGCGGCGGTCGAAGCGCACGGAGCCCTGGCGCGGTGGCGGCGCGCGCGCGTCGCGGGGCAGCAAGCCAGGCTGCGTGGGCAAGGCGGGCAGCCCTCCGCGCGGCGCCAGGCGTGTGGGCGCGCGGCACACCGGACAGGCCACCGCGTCGCCGCCGCCCGCCGTGGCCAGCGACAGGCGCGCCAGGCACTCGAGGCAGAAGACGTGGCCGCAGTCTAGGCGCTTGGGCAGCTTGAACACGCCGTCGAAGGGCGACACACAGATGAGGCACTCCATGGGCGACGCGGGGGGCAGAATGGGGCCCGAGCCGGGGCTCCCATCGCCCTCGTCCTCCTCTTCGTCCTCTTCCTCATCTCTACCTGGGAAGCCGGGCGCAGAGGGCGCGCCTGGGGAGCTGGGGCCCGCACTCTGAGTCCGCAGGCGGCGGAGCCAGGGAGGCCGCGGGCAGGGCATCTGGAACCAAACTACGGGGAGAGGTGGTCAGGCGGGGAAGGGCAGCAGCACGTAGGGTGCCAGAGGGAGGACTTCTAGAAAAGGGGCTGCTGTGAGGGGGTTACCCAGAACAGGGGGGGACTGTCAGGTTAACAGGAGCCGAGGCGTCAGGGATGGGCCCAGGTAGAGACTGCAGCCACTTGTAGATTGTGGACCCAGTGTCTCCAGGAAGGAATAGGTGCAGGGGACCAAGGTTAAGTGGGACTCCCAGACCTGGGAAGCAAACCTGGCTGTGGCAACCAAGATGCCACGGAGGACCCACCAGGGTCAACTCCTGAGATAAGGATGCGTTCAGACCAGTGAAGTATCCTGAGCTACAGGACACGGGTGAAGGGACAGCCAGCAACCCTCCCTACCTTGTGATGCCTTCTCCTCTGCCTGCTGGGGGTGTCCCTCCTGTTCTGCCCAGTCTCTGGTCTGCCTGCTGTTGGGTATCTGAGTGCCCCTCCCTAGGGGAGGGTGTCTGACCTGGGGCCACCCCCCACAGGTCCCACGCACCTGCTGAACTTGTCAGGCTGGCTACCCCGCCCCCAAGACCAAGCCTGCCAGGAACAGCAAGCCTGACTTGGGCGGATGGATGCTGATGATACTGGGCAGGCGACCACCCTTTTCCAAAACCTACCTGGGTGCCCCTGTAACCCTAGCAACTGGAGTTTGTAAGACAAGGATCCCAAGTCAAGGGTTGGCCTGAGAGTTTCAGGGGGCTGGGGATGTAGCTTCCCTTGCAAGGTCACAGGTTCAATCCACTGTGAAACCAAACATTCCACTATGGAGCCACCAGATGAGCTGCCTGGGCAGGCTCCTGCTTCTCCTAGCACCCTGTGAGTACAGGGCCTGGCCCACAGGCCACAACCCAAACAGTGAAGCCAGCATACACATCTAAGAGGTGGACAGCTGGACTGACCAGCCTGCACACAGGGCTGGGATGACTGTGGCCCAGACAACAGACCTTCTTTACCTCTACCTGGGCGTGCTTTTGGGGAGCCTGACCTCAAGATGATCCACAGGTACCCAGGTCTCACGACCAAGACCAGAGCAACATCGGATATGCCAGGCTCTCACGTCATGGACATCCTCTCCCTCATTCCCAATACCTGCTGGAACACTCTAGGGCATCTGGCCGGTGCCCTGTGACTCAGGTTTCCACAGGCTGACAAGTCATGCCAGCGCCATGAGCATCCCCATCACACAAGGCCACCCCCACAAACACAGGCAACCGATGGGTACAGCTGTCCCCAAGGGAAGACAGTTTATTGGTCAGCAGCCGGGAAATCAGCGGTTGGACTTGGCCACACGCTCCAGCTCGTCTTTCTTTTTGATGGCGTAGGAGTTAGAAGAGCCCTGTGAGGAAACATCAAATTAGCTCTAGATGCTGGGAGCGCCCCCGACCCCTGCCCTGAGACCCACATTCCAACCCACCTTGGCAGCATTAATGAGCTCATCTGCCAGGCACTCAGCAATCGTCTTGATGTTCCGGAAGGCTGCCTCACGGGCCCCTGTGCACAGCAGCCAGATGGCCTAGAGCATAGGGGTCAAATTAGGCCTGTAGGACTGTGGCCCTCCAGTAACTGGGCCCATTCAGACAAGATACAGGGGGAGGTGACATCAGCTGGAAAAAAACAAGTGTCCACAGACATACACACCCAATGATAGGACTTTAGACCTGCCATAACAATGTGATGCGTGCTCTTGACCTGGACCTTTGATTGACAAGGTAAAGGGCACATTGGGACAGATGAATAAATGACAGATATCGTATTGCTATTAAATTCCTCAGGAATGGAATGATGGGAACAGATAAGCCTTGCTCATAAGACACCTGCTCAAATGCTTAGGGAAAAACTGTTAGAATTACTACAACTGCTTCTTACCAGGTCCAAGAAGAGGAAACAAAAAGAAAAGAAACCACCCCACACAGTGCATCTGTAGCATACACTACAATTATGGTACACTTTACACACTGTACATCAGAAACAAGATGAAGCCAGACTTTGAAGGGCTCCGGGAGCCAGGATGTGCTCTGAACAGGGTGTGATTCCAGGAAGCTTTCCTGGAGGAAGTGAGGCTCCAGGTAAAACATGCAAACAGGGACAACCTTTCCACCCCAGGCAGGACTCCACCCACTCCTGGCAGCTCTTCCCATTCCACCTGCACAAGGCCAAGGGCCCAGCCCCACCTGATTCACACGGCGCAGTGGGGACACGTCCACAGCCTGCCTTCTCACTGTGCCAGCTCGCCCAATGCGCGTTGAATCCTCCCGAGGGCCACTGTTGATGATGGCATTCACCAGGACCTGCAGAGGGTTCTAGCAGACAAGGGGGGCTATGAGCTCAACGTGCTCCCCCTCCCCGACTCAATCCTAAAACAGGGTGACAGCCACATAGGTGATAAGTGTGGCATGCATACCAGGGCGCTTCAGTATGTGGTACAGGCACAGCCTGCCTTGCTTGTCACAGAGTCCTACCTCACCAGTGAGCAGGTGGATGATCTCAAAGGCATGCTTGACGATGCGCACAGTCATGAGCTTCTTGCCGTTGTTGCGGCCATGCATCATCATGGAGTTAGTGAGGCGCTCCACGATGGGGCACTGTGCTTTGCGGAAGCGCTTGGCAGCATAGCGTCCTGCACTGTGGGGCAGGTACTTGGCATACTTCTCCTTCACCGCAATGTAATCCTGAGGCAGCAGGGGATGAGGAACAGTCAGGAACAGGATGGACACAGCCCAGGACCAGAGGATACCCAGTACCCAACACTGCAATCCCAGTCTGCCCCCGCCCCAGGGGATATGGATGTGAATCCAGCTTGCCTTGAAAGAGGGAAAACTACACAAGTGGATTTCCTTCCATGTAACACTTCAAGAGCACTCCATTCCCAATGGAGTGAAGTCCATTGTTTGTTTTTTTTGCAACAGTGCTCCCTGAACACGGACGCTGTAGGGCGGACAATTCTCTGCTGAAACTACCACAGGATGTTCAGCAGTACCCAGTACACTAGCAGCAACCCACTCAGTTTTTGTTTGTTTTGGCAGTGCTGGGATTGAACACAGGGCATACTAGGCAGGTGCTCTACTATCCCTCTTTATTTAGACAGGGCCTCTCCAGTTACTGAGACTGGCCTCAAACTTGCAATCCTCCTGCCTCAGCCTCCCGAGTTATTGGAATTGCAGGCATACACCACTGTAATTTTGATAACTAAAAATATATCTGATGTTGCTGAGTGTCATCCGAGTCAGAAACATTGTTAAAGGCCAAAATGGTAGCCTTGCATACATAAGGATGGCAGAAGGAAATTAGAGGAGTATGCAAAGTGGACTGCAGTTGATACTTCCATTACAAAATGTGCCCAAGGCCACTCCCCCACCCCCAGTTTTTACATTTTTAATACCTTTATTTTTATATGTGTTACTGAGGATAGAACCCAGTGCCTCACAGGTGCTAGGCAAGTGCTCTACCACTGAGCTACAACCTCAATCCCATAGTTTTTACCTTTCTAAAGCATTGTACAAAAACAAAAAAAGTAACTGAAATCCAATGTGACCGTGAGGCAAAAACATACCATCTGGTTCCTAATGAAGAAGTTTGGGCCTGTGGGGTGCTATGGTACAGCACTTGCCTATCATGCAAGAAGCCCTAGATTCCATCCCTTGCACCACAATATACAAAGCTGCCTACGCAAACCCATGGAGGGGTGAAGTGAAGCTCTCCCAGACATCCAGAATGAAAATAATCCTGTATCCTTTAGGCACAGTACATAAGTGCTATGGCATCTTTAGAGGGAACAAAAATGCTTTAATTTCTTTTCAAACAAAAAGGAAAAAAAGTAATCACAACTCACATTTATCTTTATACAAACACATTCACAAAACATCATCATTATTATTATTACTACTGTTTTATGGTGCTAGAGATTGAACCCAGCGGCACTTAACCACTGAATTCTCGGCTCTTTTTTTAATTTATTTTCTCCTTTGAGACAGGGTCTAACTAAGTTGCTTAGGGCCTCAGTTAGTTGCTGAGTCTGGCCTTGAACTTGTGATCCTCCTGCCACAACCTCCCAAGGTGCTAGGAACTACAGGCTTGCAAAATATAACCTTTAATATTAATTTTTTTTAAAACACAGGAAGAGCCCTCAAAAATACAAGCTCCTAAGGTCCATGAAACTCCTGAAACAGGAAGCTATTTGAGCGCTGGGGGCATGCTCAGCAAAGTGCACACCTCTGCATCAAGGGGCAGGAGTGGCAGAAACTCTGTAAAACAGTATGAGAATAAGACAGAAGTACAAGCACTTACAATTATTGATTTCAACATGTTACAAAGCTACAGTAATCAGGACAACACAGTACTGGCATAAACATAAGATATACAAACCAACAACATAATTCAGAATCCAGAAATAAACCCATATATTCACGGCCAACTGATTTTCAACAAGTTCACCATTCAACTGGTTAAAAAACAGTCTTAACAGATGATGTTGGATAACCAGACCACGTTAAAAAAAAAAAAAAAACCCGAGATGCTGGGTTAGGGCTATAGCTCAATGGCAGAGCACTTGCCTGGCATGTGTGAGGCACTGGGTTCAATTCGATCCTTAGCACCAATAAAACTATAAAATAAAGGCATTTTGTCCAACCCCCCCCCCCCACAACCCCCCAGATGCTTCCACTTTAAAACAATAAAAAAATATTTTTTGTGTGTGTATAGTCCTAGCTGTTGAATGCAGGGCCTTGAACACATTAGGCAAGCACTCTACCACTGAGCTATAGACCCTAGACTAAATGGTAAACAGTTATGTGTATTCACTACAAAAACAACAAAACGCATGCAACAGTATATGTGATACTTCTGAAAAAGGAACCCCATGTAAAACTGTACTAACCTTTAGGCAAGATACAAGAAAGAGTGGATGTGGTGATTCAGCGATCTTTTTTAAACATATTTTACTTGTAGGTGGACATGACA